TAAGACTATAATTGTGCGATCTGACGACATCGGTACGTTACCGTTTCGGGACTTTCCTAAAATGTCTTAATTAAGTGCTTATTTGTACCTAAACCAAAGTGTCAGTTGTATAAACCTTCTTAAAAAAAATGCATCATTAATTTAAATGCAAGATATTAATTTAAGTACATTTTTTGTCAATTTAAATATAAAAAGGCGATAATAATATAATAAAAACTTTCTGATTAAATAATAATTATATTAGTTTACTAATTACGCTGTTGCACAATAAAAAACTAATACAACCTACAATACAACTACCTACTAATACATACATATATATGTAATCAAGGTGATCTAAAAGTTCACTTAAAAATTTTGATAATGAAATTAAGACGATATCGACACTTATTTTATTCTGTAATAAATTAAAGTCTTCGCATTGCATGAACACAAAATCCAACTTTATGTTAAAAGATTAGACGTTCGCGAAGTCGCCTGATCGTACATAACCGCATCATAATATGTCGTCATTACATTGATTTAATTATAAACAAACCGGACCTATATCTATAAATACAACTAATGCAAAATGCGTCGAAAGTGCATTCAGAAAGAATGGGCAACAAATACCAATCGCAAAGGAATCGTACAACCTGCCGGCGAATTCCGGTTCCACGTCAACCGCCACACCTTCGCGACGCTTTTCCAATATGTGAAATCCTATGTACGTATTTACTATCGTTTTCATAGGAAGTCACCACATTTACAGACCCTATGCACAGCTTCATTTCCAATCGAAATATCGTATTGTTGTTTGATCCACAAGCACAATAATACGGTTCAATTTTCCACCAACAAAGAATTTTCCAATTTCGAAGTCTTATCTCGTCTACCCAGGGCTTGGCGAGAATTTAATTTTTGCTATTAAATTTTTAATTCCAATAGCATTGCACTCATATTCCCGTCCTTACGGCGTACCGTAAGAGTGATATTAGACTTCGTTCACATAGCAATGTACTGCACAGTTTGTGCCACATTCGATTTTAAACGGATAAACAGCACACGAAAAATAAAAAAAGGATCGTGTGCATACGGCACACGATACATTTTCATTCGTTTAAAAAACGAATAGCCGCAGTATTCATACAGCTATCACCCTGAGGGCGCGGCTATGATGGATCCAAGCCTTTAGCACTTTTATACTAGTTCAAAAGACGCTAGCAGTTTCGCCTTCAGTGTTACAGAAGGTATTGGGTTCATCCTATAAATCAAGAAGCAATACGTACAAACTCATTTTTGAAAAATTTTACGAAAATCTAATAATTATGAAACAAAATTGCAATTACTTTCGGATGTCCATAAATTATTTTGACAATGTCAAATTTGGAGAATTCGTGTTTAATTTTACGGTTCAGTTTAGTTGCTATTCGATAAAAAAAACGTATGGCATCGCACCGCGAAGATGGTGTAATACTACGCCATCGAGTATTTATACGCTCTATGTACTACGCGATACTGCAATCCGAATACGTTAAAGTTCATTCGGATGGCTTGTGATGTAAGGTGAGTATTCACCTTGTGATGTATAGTAGAGTATAGTAAGTGCGTTTTTGTTTTTTGCAGTATAAACACCGTGTGAAAGGTTCTATTTATATAATGTATGCGTCACTGTTTATTCGGTAAGATTTATATTGCAAATAAAACGTGCAGTACAATGCCGTGTAAACGAAGCCTTAGAGTTATCCGCACGAGTAGCTTGCATCGCATTGCAAACTAATAGTAACATGTAGCTTTCAATTAAAAATTTTACTCCAATTATATCGTAACATCTCAATTATAGTATGTACAACTCATTGGAGTTGTACATGCTTAATAATTTCGTTTTTATTTACAAGTACGTTATTTAAACCTAAATTGTTATGTGGAAGCAGATCAATATAAAGCTCGTTTATTTATTTATTTATTGTGGAACAGTGACTTGTTGAACATGATTTTTAAACAGGATAAATTTTTCGTAGATAATTATTGAGAAATTTGTCCAACTTAGTTAGTTCCTAATATCTGCCGACAGCTACAAAATTTTTTTTTTTATATCATAAACCATAACCCTGTTTAAGAATATTGAAATTGTTCAATCATATTTTAGCTATGCATCATTAGGATAAGCTCCTTGAAGTCGAATCCGTTAACTAATTTTATCTGTTTTTAAAAGAGAATTTTGTGATGTATTTTTTGCTATTTAAAATAGTTATATAATCATTTGTCACTTAGCCGCGTTATAGTCAGTGGACGGCGATATAACAGTTACTCGAATGTCTTTTACCCTGATATCGCGAATTCGCTGGCGATTGACATAATCTCAGATGCCCAATACCTACCCAAATTAATAAAATATTATTATAATCTTGGAAAGAGAACGAGACTTTTACCCAGCAGTGTGACATAATAGGTTAATAAAAAATAAAAAAATCTTAGAAAGTGTTTCAAGTTTACATTTTATATTATCCATGACAAAGCAAACACGAATTACCCTTTACCATAAACCTCGCCAGTATGTTTACATAACAATCATGTTGGGTACCAACACAGTGACCCTACAACATCTTTTATGCTCTGGCCACGTAGAGGCGGCCGCGGAAGCGTTCCGGGCGCGGGAACTTTTGAATGTACGAGTTTATACGCATCCTGCCTCACTGAAACGCACGGCCGTTCAGTGTGGCAGGATTCATAATGAACTGGTACATTACAAATATTCCCGCGCCCAGAACGCTTCCGCGGCCGCCTCTGTGTGGCCCGAGCTATAATCTGTAACGAACCCCACCGATTTAACAAAAAATCTTAATAGCTTAATAAACGGAAGTAACAACAAAATCAAAAATATTAAGGACTGATATGTAAAATTAATACTATATTTAAGTACAGGAAATATGCAATATAACAGAACCAATAAATTTTACCATGTATAGACAAATTTATACTGTAATAATTATCTACTCGATTATACATTGAACGTTTAAGAATAACGTTTTACTATTACGTTATACGGGTAACATATTTTATACATACTCTCAACGTGACAATTACCTGGGAGCCTACCACAACCTCTTAAAACAATATTACTTTAACCTTACATTGACTTTTCGTACCATGACGCGCTTAAAATTTGCTTATTATAATGTTAAAACTATTACATATAATAGTTATATAATATTGTATGTATAATAGTACATTTATTGGCAGCTTTGTGACTATTCATTCACTCAATTCGTTCCATGACGTGACTTTGACATCTCATACACGTACTTGGACATAATAATGCTCAAGGCAAATTTAGCAATCTTCTATTCTGGACGTAATGAAAACAATATTATTTTAGAATTGATTGTCTAAATATTGATTGGTAATGACTAAAAGTGAACTTATATATTTCCATAAATCTCTTTAATATTTCGTTTATTTTTTTATTAGATGAGAAATAATTTTTCGTTAAATAAAAAGATACTGTATTTATTTCGTAAAATTATGACTGCGACACCAACAGCTGACACCAGACTATAATTCCGAATTCACAACATGGCAATCAAGGCTCAACTTTTTTACTTTTCTTCATGAAAATGCTTAAAAATAATTGAAAACAACGTAATTTTAATAGATTTGATTATAGCATAATTTTGTTTTTTGGCACTTATAATTGTATGTAAGTCTATGTAAACAATATTATGTACTTTATCATTATACTACGATAGGACGATTCGGAATCAAAAAATAAAGAGATGGCATTGTACAGTTCATATAGCGTTATTTCTTTGTTATTGTTAGCAAGGAAATCATTCGTTATTTCCATCACTTTAGCAATAATACAATAGTACTCAATAGTACTTCGTCACTCCGTCTAACAATCTTTTTTTTTGTATTAATGGCTTTGCTTTAGCATTTAGCCAATGAAAGGGTTGGGAAAGCAGAATTACAGATTATGGCAGAGGTACGGAATTTGGATGAAAAAGAATATGGTAGGTTGGGTAGTTATTATACAATTCCGGACCGTAATTCGAGCCACCAGGCATTTTCAGTATGTGCCCTAAGCATAAACAATGTTTGATTGATCAAAAACTATTATGCAATTATGAAACTAGTATACTAAACATCTTTTCCAAAAGGGGAAAAGTTTTTCTTCGATAATAACAGTATTTTTATATTCTAGCCGTTTACGACAAAAATGCGAGGTGGCTCGAATTATGTGTCCGGGAGTATATATCGTAGCCAGTATAGTATAAACATCTTAGTTGCATAAAGTTATTTAATTTTTGACACCTGGAATTTTAATCAATTAATGATCTCCTAATGCGTTTCCGATTCGATTTTTTATAACAATCGATTTTATTTATTAAGTGTAAATTGTGAATGTTCAAAAAAGAAGAAATTGTCTGATTAGGATCGTGATTTTGCGTTTGACAATTTGTGTAATCAAAATTAATTAATGACGATTCAAGTCATGATTCCCGATCATATGGAGAAGAATCCGACGATTCATTATAATAAACAAAAAAAATTATTACATTTATTTATATTTCATTTCATTATAATTTATTAGACGAGTATCAAAATGTATCAACTTGAATAATCTTCGTTACATAATCTATTGGCTCAATAAATATCGGAGCACGTTGCTTCATTAAACTAAAAAATAAGAGCCCAGGAAAATTAGAATATAGAAAAAAAATAGTCTAAGGAGTATACTTGGTTGAAACATACGAATGAGTAATATTATAATAAGCTTACATTATGCTTACATTGAAATAAGATTGCTTTTTGAAAGGTTATGGTAGGCCCCTTGAGCTATTTGACAATAAAATCAATCTAATCACTACAAACTTAGATGCATTTTAGATTAATACTAAAATTTGCCTAATACAACAGGCATTTTTACGTGTTCATTACACACGCCAGCACATCAAGCTACACAATGACGTATCTTGTTCCGTTGCGCTGGAGGCGATTTTCGAACAAAAATGTGTAGTCTGATGTGCCGTTGTCCGTACAATTTGATTGAAGTACTGTAAATATTTTTTAATATATAATCGTAAAAGCAGAAAGAAACGTCTTTAATGTTAGTAATTTTTTAACAATATTCAAAATCAACGCTCAGATCATTTACATTGGCGCGGTTTGAACATGACACTACTACATACATGCTGGAAATTTTAATCAGGTGCAAAATACGATGTCAAATAGACGAAACGCGAATATTGAATGATTACAGAACCAACAAAAACAAGTTGGTATTTATGTACATAACAGAAACATTGGGCAATTTTCAACAATACGTTTAAGTTAGCTTAAGAGATAATTAAGTAAGTTCAGAGTGCTGTACCCCACTTATGAGTTTACAATGACAGTTGTCGCCAAGCGCCTGCTTAACATATTTGAAAACAAAATGGTAACCTTCTTGTGCCAGTTAAGGTCGCTGCGCGAACGGCCACACAAATTGAAAATTTTACGTCGCTACGACAATTGTCTTTGTGAACTTGTGGCAAGTATAAAGTAAGCCACGGCAAATTAGGTGTATGGTTATTGAAATGAACACGCGAGTTTAGAAACTAAAAGCATTCTGGCATGCTGATACCACAGGTGGCTGTAGAAATGACTAACAAAAAAAATGGAGCAGCGCCACACCCCTCGAAAACCCGCTTCTACTGACTTCAGACTATGGGCCACTATTTTGTCATAACTATCAACTCTAACTTGAACTGGACGTGCAGAAATTCAGCGACGATTTCGCTACCGATACAACGCTGCACTTAGATGCGGTTGATACGTAGATATATGTTTGGTTAAAAGCAAGAGGGAAAAAAGAGAGCCCCTAAGAGCTGAGTCGTTCGGTTACCACAATGAAGAACAAGCAATAACGAATTTTACAATGTTTTATATTTTTGTTATATACAAGTACATAGTAGCGAACTATAGACAAAAATCAGAATGATCACTACTTTCAAAAAGGGTGTCACAATGTGGTACCATTACATTAATACACAAATGAGTAGTATGGTAAGGTCGTAGTTTAGTTATTGCTAGAAGGAATGGCCACGTAAAAATATAAAAAGTCTGGTAGACAAAATTGACCAAAAAATTTGAAAAAGTAATTAAAAAAATGGTGTTATTCATCTTTTTAATTAAAACATGCACCGGGGCAATTCAGTTATTGGCTGAACAGTTTTCGTTATATCAAAATGCGTCCGGCATTTTCTCTTTTAGGCTATTTTGACAGCATTACTATGATACTAAAAATAAAGTACTATTCGTAAAATTAACAATAAATTTGTGTCTTCAAAGTTACGAAATTTTTTATAAGCTTGTTTGCAAAATAATTCAGCGATTTGGAAAAATAACAGTATTGTAAAGCTATCGTAAATAAGTAATCGCAGTTAGCATTACTAAATTGAACATTTTGAATCTTAAAATGCCTTTGTAATGTCTCCAAAGCCACCGGTAACTACATTCAATTTAGCGAATTTTGTGTACGACATATGAATGTACAAATAACAGTTGATTGACCCGAAAGCACGTTTAATCATAAGCCGCACATTACTAAATCACAATTTTAAAAAAGCACCTTCATTATTAAATCAAATAAAAACTGAAGAAAAAATTAATCTCTCAAACATTGACCGAGGTCAACCGAGGTCAAACCCCTATTTGACACTGCTAGCATTTATAACTGATCTAATATATCAATAAGACTTATATTTAAAAGTTATTTAACGATAAAAATTGAATACATGTATTAGTTGTAGAGATAGATAGTGTTACTAAAAAGGGTCACCACACAATTCGAGTCCGGAATTGCCGACCGAGATATGGTTAAAAACAAAAAATGGTCAAAATTGTACCTTTTCTCAGATACCTTGATATGAAATCGTGCGGAAATAAAAACGTAAAGAAGAAAAAATTGCGTCAACATGGGAATAGGGTTGTAAAAATAAATTCAAATAGTTGAGTAAATATTCATCTTTATACCTATATAGTGCACATCTTCTAAGCAGTGTTTTTTTTTAAATGGGGCAGTATGGGGAAATCCGAAACCATAGAAGATACAAGGACACTGAATTAGGAACCATTGAGTTTCTTTTTGTGAAAACAATTTTGGCACAGTAAACTTTTTGGTCAAGCTTGATTAAAAAATCAAGTCAAATTTATTGATAAAAATAAATATAAATTAAAAAATTTTTTAGTGCTAATCGACTCTTATTTCATAATAGAATCATTTCATTATATGGAACAAAAATCGGGACTGCCGAAGTTGGTCAAATTTCATAAAATATTTTTATTACAAAATCAATAAAATTGACTAATTTTATTTAAAGCTAATAGACTCAGTTTTTTATAAGTATTTCATTGTATGGGGAAAAAACCGGGTCAGCAGAAGTTGATCAAAGAAGGATGGCGACAACCCGAGTATTTTATGACCCAGTGTTTTAGACGACGCGACGTTTATTAAATACACCTATCCATACTTGTGATTCATCATCATAGCACCAAAAAAGTGAATTGAATACAGACTGTAGAAGCTGGGGTTATAAAGTTGATATAGGTTACGTTTATAATATTGTCCTATAACGGTTCCTAAGACAGTTTCCTGGTATCTTGTATGGTTTCGGATTTCTCCACACTGTCCTATATAAAAAAAATTACTGTATATTACGTTTAAGTTTTCACAAAGTCAAAAAAATTTACAGTTTTGTCGTCTGAATGACAAGTTTCATAATTTGACGAAACAATACCAATCATACAGTGAGAATCAGAATTTATGCTAATGGAACATGCATAAAAATACTTAAATTACAATTGCGAAAACATATTGCACTAATAAATCGATTTAGTACCATGGTATTGTTATTTCTTCCATCACAAGTTCATTCATCCATTCATTTCTTGTTTTCGGGATCTTTGTTAGGTGACCTGTGAACCAAATTGTATGTGTATACAAGGTGTCCCAAACCTAAACGATAACCTGAGAACAGGATGTTGCCTAGTTTGTAATAACCCAGAAAAAAATATTTAAAAAATCGGAGTCATGTTTTTTTAAAAAAAAAACGTTGAAAATGTACGACCTGCACACCATTTTTAAGTACTACAATTGCAAATTTGATAATTTTGCTGTTCTAGTTTTTGTACCGGTGACCTAAATAGCCCAGCTAATGAACACAATTCCAAAGAAAACCCGAATTGCTATACTTACAGCCCAAAAAAATAATGTTTTTTTTTAAATATTTAGCACATTTTTTTCAAGGTAACTTTGACACCCCAACCATACTGTAAAAGAAATGTACCTAGACTACACCATGGCAACATCTTACAAGTTGCAACTAATCAAGATTCTAAAATGGTATAAAACCTTCTATGTCTTGCTTTCTGGAAAAAATAATCTTAGTTTTTCTAAGAGGCCAATTTAAAAAGGTTACCTATTTAAGTGAAAATGACTTTCAATGCCTCTAAGGTTAATTTAGGTTTCATATCCATATACTCAGAGTTAGACTGACTGGTAAAAATGGTAAGTATGATTGAGTGAGGCAAACAGTCTCCAAATTCCACATTTCTCGACAGATATACAAATTTAAATTTAAATGAATTAATTATTATAATTTTATTACAGACCACAGCAATTGCTCAAACTGTTTTCCACCGGCAGCAATACATGCGGCAACGCCTTAAAAATGACCTTTTCACCAATCAAGCATATTGTCGTAAATTTATCCGTTGTACAGCTTCCGTGATTCTTCGTCGCAATACGGCAACGTTTGAAAACGGTTTTGCATAAACTTTTTCTGTCAAACAACCCCAGTAAAAAAGTCTAGGGGGTTCAAATCTGGAGAACGGAGTGGCCATCCTTCGACCTGCGTACTCTTCATTGAGATATTCTACTGGACGGGCATAATGAGCAGGACACCTGTCACGTTGATACCACATTACCCGCAATATGCTAAGTGGTACGTCTACCAGTAGATCTGACACCCCGTTCTACAGATTTCAACCCCTCGACTTCTTTACTGGGGTTGTCTGAAAGAAAAAAATTATGCAAAGCAGATATAATTTATAATTATGAATAAGTTTATGTACAACAGATAAATTTACGACGATATGCACGATTGGTGAAAAGGTCATTTTAAGGCGTTGCCGTGCACGTATTGATGCCAGTGGAAAACAGTTTGAGTCTGTAGTCTGTAATAACATTATAATAATTTATTCATTAGATTTATTTAAATTCCTATATCTGTCGAGAAATATGGAATTTTGAGACTGTTTGCATCATACTTACCATTTTTACCAGTCAGTTTAACTCCGACTACATGGATATGAAACCTAAATTAACCTTAGATGCACTGAAAGCCGTTTTTCACTTAGAAAAGGTACTTTTAGGTTAGAAAAACCAAGATAAATTGTTTTCCAAGAAGCATAACGTAGAAGGTTTCATACCATTTTAGAATCTTGATTAGTTGCGCCAACTTTTGTAAAATGTTGCCATGGTAGTCTAGGTACATTTTTTTACAGTAAGGGGTGTCAACAGTTACGTTGACAAAAAATCTGCTAAAAATTTCAAGAAAAAAATTAAATACAATATTTTTTTGTGCTGAAACTTTGGCAATTCCGGATTTCTTTGGAATTGTGTTCATTAGCTGGGCTATTTGGGTTACCGTTACAAAAACTAGAACAGCAAAATTATCAAATTTGTAATTATAGTACTTAAAAATGATGTGCAGGTCGTTCATTTCCAAAATTTTTCATTAAAATGCTTATATCACAAAAAAAACATGACGCCCGACTTTTTAAATATTTTTTCTGGGTTATTACAAATTAGGCAACACCTGTTCTCAGTTTAGCGTTGAGTTTTGGGACACCCTGTATATGTGTATATATAAGTTGATCCATTTACAATAAAATGCGCTTTACAAATGCAAGTTTAATATCTACATAAACACTGATGAAGCACAACGCACAATTAAAGCAAAACAAGCATTATTTGGCACATTATATTTACTTCAACATAGTTAAGCAAGTCGGTGGTGACCCCCAGTGTAGTATGGCCAACGGTTTAACAATTTTTAATAATAAAATCAATCTAGTGTACAGAAGACCACCTGCATAAGCAATCCGGATGCGTAGTAGAAAACATTGTTAACTCGGACTTGCCTATAGTGATCACAGTTTTCAATTAGTTGTCATGGTATTATTTTATTTGTCCTAAGTTATGTATTAGTTAATTGGTAATTAATAAATGTAATGGCCGATCAAATACATTACATTTACACAAATTGCTGGTGCTAGTCTCAATAAATGGGACTAAAACTGTCAAAAACATTAAAATTCATAATTGAATGAATAATTGTGGTCCCAAACAGTTTGGCTAATCCATTATTCAAACCGTAAATTAGTGATGTTCACGATTAGCGAAGCAATTTACATGTAAATATTAATTTTGTGAAATGTAACAGCTAATTTTTAATTATTGGTCTTTTATTGAGTATAAAGGGTCCATGACGGTAGGCGTCCACAGATCCGCACCGCACGCTTCGGCCGGATCGCATCAAACGGCTCCGTTTATGGCAGTGCGTCCACTGTATCCGCAGCAATCGGAGTGCCGACGCAACTACTACCTATCGGATTGCCGACGCCACTTTTTGTAGCGAGCGGGCGAGTGTAAGTTGTGTGAGCGAGACAATAGATTTGGAAAGCGATGAAGAACAATTTGTCGTGGTGGTTTGTTTGTTGGTAGAAGAAGAAGAGAAAAAAAGGAAACATGACATCTGGATACATGACATATTTAAGAGATCGCAACGCAGCGACGCGCGCTGGGTGTGTCCACTAACTAATACGCAAGCCGTATGACGTCGTCGGCACGCATCGGAATAGTTGCCCCTCCGCGCAACTGCATCGGCATTACCGACAGGCCGGTGCGATGCGGATCAGTGGACCCAGTTGCATGAACTTCCATATAAAGAATACTAAAATCCGTATAATGCGATCCATCCAATGCGTGCACTGCGGATATCTGGAAGCCTACCTTTTTACGCCAAATTAGTAGCAGTAGGTGGACGGTGGTAAATAAAATAAAAATGACAAACAACAACCAACATTCCGTAGTAATAATTCTACCGAAAAAATAAAAAAAGAACTGCTGCTGTTTGCGACTTTTTGCCATTTCACAAGTTCAAAGTGGGCCTATACGCTCATACTTCGTCTACTAGTATTTCAGAGACAGGTGTTAGCTTTCGTCTTACTTGGCAGGCGCAAGGAACCGCTCGACAGTTGCACATTGCGACGGGTCATAGTCCTCGGAGTTTGCGGCGCGGGTCCTTGAAATATTGCGCATGCGCTCTCGGAAAGCATGTCGCATTGCCAACTGTGATTCTGTGATGGTAGCCACGGGCTGTACCGTAGCACCTTGGGTGCGTTCCACTGCCTCGCGAACTGTCTCTGCGAATAATCAAATGTGATTAGGAATCTATATGAAACAGGCAAAATAAAAGAATGCAAAATGAGAACGGTTTTGTTAGACCTGGACCTTAACAGACCCAGAGCTACGTTTTTCTATTAACTACGAAGCAAGTAAAGGTTACATATAGGAGATTCCACTAATTGAAACTAATTACAACAGCGAAATATCGAAGATGCGTAAAAATAACAAACGTCAAGCTTATAATCTAGATAAAATACCAAATTTTGTTAAATTGTATATATTCATTTGAATTCCATGCAACATTTTTTTGGCATTTACTTCGGATTCTGGAATTCTTCAGCCCCAAATTAAAAAGGAGGCAAAAGTAATTGTACATGATCGTCTGCTATGATAAGTTAACGTATTGTTTCTTATACAAATGCAATTGTGAACTTTTGGGTAACAATTGTTCCACGTGGAACTGAGTACATGGAACTACTAGGAATAAACGGCAGCTAATTGCAAAATTGGGAAATATATGAAACTTACTGTTAAATGTACAAAAATGGAAGTAAATGCAAATGGTACGTAAGCCTGGTGACCTTTAAAACCCTGGTACAATTTCATTACTGGAGCCATCACTTTCTTTGTACAAAAAATGGCTTTTAGCACGTACTCTGATTCCTACACCTCCAAAACTAAAAATAAGGCAAAAGAAAATAATAACAATTATCTGACGCAAAAGTCCAGGTATATTTCTTGTAACCATGCCTTATTTTGACTAGTTCATTATAAGGGTTACAACATCTGAAAAGCACATCAAACAGCTTTTATATGAATAAAAATAAATATAGCCAAAATAGCACTACGAAATAGTTTAATATTGTCTTATGCTTCAATATTCTTTTTAAACCAAGTAATGCATACTGCATTCACGTGATGTTTCAGTACAACCGAATAACGTAAATAATATTCAGGCGTTACTTTGCGGAAGTCCATGTTAATAAAAATGAAAGTAAATTAATTTGCTGCTCCGCAAACTCAATGAAGGTTAATCTCAGCAATAACGAAGAATAACTAAGAGTAACGAAATCTCAGCTAGCGAAATTTACTTATTAAAAGTGAAACAGTAATGCTCATAGTTTGTATGGTAAAATTGAATACTTTTCAAGGCAAATAATGAAGCAATGAGTTTTTAGTTTATTAAAACACTCGCGAAAACTGATGAGGGCGCAGGCTGATCTTCGAAATTGGGGCTTTTTCTTCTTTCTAGCTATGCAACAAAATAATAAAGCACAAATGCAGCAAAATAATTTAATCAAATACACTTAATTAACAATAATCACATTAATTTAATGTACAAAAGACGTCGTCACCTTCCAGCATCGCTCCACCTCAATCAACAAGAGCATGTACAAAAAATGTGGAGAATATTGACGTCTTGAAGGTGGTGGTGGTTAACCTTCTTCGCAGGATCAATCATTGGCGAGATTTTTCGTAAAAACGACTAAGCAGAATTTTCTGTAAGAGAAATCTCACTGGGGAGTGAGAATCTCTGCATTGCCATTAGAAAACGAGCCATATCCCCTACCTGCGAGAGGCTCGACCTGCGACGCAGGGTAGGATTCGAATAACGACGTGCGGAGACTCCGGACTTCGTAGACCGAATTGTCATCGGAGACTCCGACGGAGCTCGGCCTGCGGCCTCGTTGATTTTTAGCGGACTTGTTTTTTTTTGATTCGGGGATTTTTGCCTTCAGCTTGCACCCGCCATCTTAAAAAAGTCGAACTGTTTCGATTTTATCTTAAAAACACTACAATTGGTTACAAAGCACGGTTATGATAGATATGAGTTTCCGAGCACGGATTGAATGATAAAGCATTTGTAAGTACGCTCTATTAAAAACTGGCGAGAAAAAATTTAACTGCGTTTAGATTTAAGCATGCAATGCACGTGTATTCATGTACAATATGTACATTTTGGACGCATCGGTGTCATTTTTACGAGAGGATAATTTTCTGTGTCGTTCGCTATCTTCCCCCTCATCACTAATAGAAACGCTAATAATGATTACAAAAGTAAATCATAGTATCACCATTTCAGGATAACGAAGTAATATTTCCGCTTTTACCTAGATCAGCAATACTAACCGTTAATAAACGGCTGGAATGACGTCGCCGGGCGATTTTGGCGCACACAACGACGCTTACGGGCAGGCATGCCCGAGAGGTAGGCATCGCTATAGGGTTCTTGGCGCTCCTGTTGGTGTTGCTGCTGAGCCTGCTGGTCGCGCGTGAACACCGGCACCCACTCCTCGCCCCAGTGTTGCAGGATTAACATTGGCGGCACCTAATCAAAAGGCACGTGCCATTATGCTCTATGCATTATAAAGAAAGAAAGGTTTCGTTCGTGTTTTCTTTATATACTTGTTTTTTTTTCTATTAATAATAGTAATAGTTCTTTATTCAAGACAACATAGGTCCACTCCTTAGTTTTACAGAACCTTAGCTAGTATATTAGTTTACAGTATAATATCTATAAATGTAATAAAATAAAATACGATCAAACAATAAAATTAAAACTGAAAAGTGAAATATTATAATAAAATCACATTAAAATGTTTAAATTGCAATAAAATAAAATAAAATAAACTAACGTAAACATTAAAACTGAATTAAAAGAAAATAAAATAAGAATTGCACCCCCAACTTGATCTACATTTTAATTTCAAAATTTTGTATGAGTGGCTTGCCATACCAACGCGCCAACAAAATGCCCAAGCGTGGGCTCATATTTTTATTACCGGTACTTGTCATTTTTATTATAATTTTAATTGACTCGATCTCGATAAAAAAAAATTGGCCTTAGACAATCAAATAGTAAGGTTAGTTAACATACGCAATAAAATGTCGACCAACACTGTCAGTAGACGATACGTCCACGAAGTATTCTAGCGACTGAACGTACTATTATAGTTCACACTATATTGTAATATTGGGCAAGTAAACGTTAAGACTATAATGAAGAACTTACAAATCGCACTTCATCTTCGTCATTGTTGATTGGCTGACGGTCGCGGTTACGTCGCGGTGGCGTGGCTTCTGTGATTTCAATTTTCGGTGGGGTCCTGCTACAAATAAATCCGTTACAATAATTATAGTAAATAAATAGTACATTATTGCAAAGGCCGGAAAGTAAGGAATTGCTGGACGAGTATGAGTTACAAGAACGAACGCCAGCGAAGCCTTGTATTAATAGGAGTCAAGGAATTCCCGTTCCCGCCGAGGCATTTATTATAGTATGTTTCTCAAACAATGTGAGGAAATAATAAAAGCCCTTAGAGAGGAAAATGTACACCTAATAGAAAAAGTAAAAAAATATTAATTAATATTAAAGGTGACATTTGACGTATTAGGACAATTTCTAAAAGATTTTTTCTTTCAGGCGCATTAATAGTAGTCTGCTACACTTCTGATGATGTGTTTGAACGTGTACCTATCTATTACCGTATTTTCGTTATCGCTCTCCTTACTAGCACTCATTTTTACAACCAAATATAAAAAAGAAGATAAAACAAAAGAATACCAAAACAGTTGAAATGTTACCGCCATTTTCTTTTTTTTTTAAGTAAGCAGTACAGGTAAGTATTTTTAATTCTTGAAACAATGAACACAGGGCAGTTGACTGTATGACTTTTTTCTTTTGCCTGTTTACATAGTTTATTATTAATAAGTATATTTAAAAGTTTAGAGAAGGGGGACAATAATATATTTTCATACTTTCATACTTTCCGTGTTCGTTTTTTTGAAAGTAATGTAAACATTTTCGAGCATGTTTGAGAAAAATAATTATATGTACCTTAATGCAAGGAGCAGAAAAAGTAATTACTGGACTGTTAAAGTGTCCAAGCATAGTGGGAATACAAGTATAACAATTGGCATATCAGTCAAGGATATTGCTTCAAGAAGCAACAAAGAAAAAGGAATTTGACCACCTCTCTGGTTTACCTCATTTTCGACACACGTAAGCAAACCATATGAAACAGCAGGTACCATACAGCAATAGACTGCCTGTTTTAAAATTAGCTTACTCTGTGATACTTATATTACAGTTCTGTTTTGTTATTGTAATTTGTAATGGGCATTAATATTTTATTCATTCTTTCAAAAGTATTGTTTCGCTTTTTGAAAACTGACAACAACAAATGTAAAAAAAACCATAAGAAAAATAATAAAAAACAATTTGTATCGAACTTACTTCTGCCGCAATGGCGAGGCAGTGGCGCTTGTAGCAGTGGCGGTTGGAGTGACCTTGGAGGTGGACGAAGAAGCACACACTGCGTTATCTTCCAAGTGCATGGGGCGAGGAGACTGCTCGGCCGTCATCGGAGTCCCCGGTGGGGATATTTGCATTGGCTCAAGTGGTGGAGCCGATGGAGATACCTCCATAGCGGATGGCTGTACACAAGGCGTAAATAGAGGGGTCTAGCAAAAAAACTTGTCAACCAAATTGTCTGTTAGGTGGGATACGTGGAAAATGATAACTTATCAGTGTACACATCGATTACCGATATATTACAACATTGGTACCACCTGGATAGTGACAGTTCATCTTCTTAAATACAGACTCGGTAAATATCATCCCTGGTGTATTTCTTTTACGGGACCACGAACTGAGATGAGAACTACTAATGAGAACTATTAAATAATAAAAGAATCATCCAAACGATTCACAAACGCAGGATATACGTATGAATTACTAGATACGGAAAAAACAGTCCTTTTAGGACTTCTTTTTTTATCGTCAGTTAAAATATACGAACCACTGGGCCGATTTCCCTTCTCCGGATAAAGGACAAGATGTTCTCAATATGTGGGTTAACGTTGGTTTGGACTGCGTTGAGATTTTCCATGCTCAAGGTCGTAAGAAGCTGCCGTGCGGCTTCGCCGAAGCCATGACTCGATCGGTCCTGTTTCAAAATTATTTTCTTATTTCTCATGATCGGAACGTGTAAAGTATATATCTAGGCTCCAATTGATCGCGACCTTACTATTTAAAAACAAGCTGCACCAGTACAATACTTTAATTCTGGATCTGGCTGATGAAATACCTACATTCTGGTCAAACATAACAAAGAAAATCTCATTAAGAACCGCTGCTTGACAAAACAGTTTAACTCCTTTTCTTTGCTCTCTGTGTGAGTACATGTACCCATGTTATTTAAAACCATGGTTGTTTCTAAATTGTGTCTACTGAAAATCATTCTGTATTCATGATCAAACCGCCTTTATATGGGCTTTCATTAATTGCAAGCTCTTAAATGTGGTACAGATCTTTTGTTCTATTTAGGATTCCAGTCTCGCAACAGACTTTACACTTTATTTTGTTTAATGCAAAAAAATGTATATTTATGATTCCAGTAACAGATTTAAAACTTTGTTTAATCTTAATTTTTTTTACACCAAAGTTAAACAAAAAATGGGGATACAGATATTTTGGTTTTTTTTTCATTAAATAATAGAATTCAATTAAACTAAACTAAAAATACTACGTAGTCTTGTTGTATATAAGGTATCAATGAATTAGACTTTTTAGAAAATCCATTGTCACTTTTTGTTAGGTTCCCAACTGTATTACGACATAGTTTAGATATTATTCTTGAAATTACCAAAAACGCAGTGAATATAATGCGCAATCCATCGCCACCGTTCTCGCAGACGTAAGTGATTATGGCACACATGTCGAGGAATAGTCTCGCCAGCAGCTGATAATATCGCGCGGAAAAGTGCTCCGTTGCCGAATCCGACATGCATAAGGCGATGATGGCCGGCACGCGGCTGCGCAGCAATGATTGCAGAGACTCGTGGAGGTCGACATCAGCGCGGATCGGAGTGAGGCTGCTCTGTTTCAATAACAAGAAATAAACCAATAAGTTTCGCTCTTTTTAACATTTAAATTCACGACTTTTCGATGCTGTTTTAAATCCTGATTTCTTGCACCCATTATCAAAGATTGCCACTTGAGTACACCTTCCCAAGTCGAAAACTTGTAAAGAGTTTATACGTTTATACCGCCTTTTATAAGACGAAATGAGAACTGACCTACTGATTAGACTATTAGAAAATTAGTCCATGCATGCACTGTACCTAAAGAAACATTTGACAATTTTATTTTATCATAACTCTGACTATTGAGGTTCGATATACCCAATTATCATGCAACCGATGCAGAACAAGCGTAGGCGACGATAACATCGCATCGTTGCAACGCTTATGATTAGTTAAATGCTTATAAAACTTAAGCATTAATTATACTTACCATTGCACTGATAAAGTCTGCATGTTGGTCAATGAAGTAGTCAGCAACATTAACGAAAGTGCGGCTGTCGGTCTCGTTGCCGCCGCAGCGCGCGAGCATCTCCTCGGCGTAGTTGCGCAGAAGTAGCCGCAGCGACGTGAATTCGTTGGGCACTAGTGGCGGCTCCGGTGAGCCAACCGCTTGCCCTTGCATTGGCTCCACTAAGAACAACTGACGGGCCTGTTCGTGAAATAATAAGACTTTTATAACGCACACACTCAATATAGCGCCACACTAGGGAAACTAGGTATCGCGGGTGTCAAGGACACACACATTGACAACCACAAATTACACCCAAACTCACGAGAGAAATAAATGTAGGCCATATACATATTTCTCTCGGCCCGGGAATCGAACCAGGGACCTCTGCGTGGCAATCTGGCATGGAGGCAGTTTATAGATCCTTTAAATGCCTGGTAGTTAATAGAGTATTTTTAATATTTATTATTATACAGCAATAAAATATAAAAATTATTATTATTATACAGCAATTCAAGCTTTCGGACTTGACACATAGCAAATAAAGATTATTTTTCAAATTATAGTAAAAATAACCTAAATATGAGGATTTGAATTTGGCAATTGCAGAAAAATTAAAACATCGTTTTGCAAAAAAAACACAGAAAACATCTTTGCTATAGCTTATTATAACCTCTTTTTATTTTGTTTTTAGAAAATTGTTCAAGTAATATTTCGTAATATATTTGATTTTTTTAAACCAGTCAACCAACACAACGCTATAAGTTGAAGTTCATATTATGTCTTGGTATTTATACACTCATTAACGTTACATAGAAAAAATTTTTTTGAATTTGTATCTAATAATCTCAGTACAGAGTACTAAAAAAACCGACCCAAAACTACGTAGAATTACTTCTAATTGCCAAGTTTTATGGAAATTCGTTACCGGAAAGTGCGCAAACCCGGATTCATCCCCTAGTTCGCCACTATACCGAACTTGACACAGGAGATAATAAAAATCGGTTTTCACTACTCAAAGTATATTGAGAGAGAAAAACGCCTTGAATTGGAGAATAGCAAAACCAAACATTAAAATAATTGCTCCTTATAATAAAATTTAGGCGCTATTTGTAAAATAAATAGCACCTAAATAAATAAAAACAAATAACTAATATAATAAATAATAATAAAAAACAGCCTCCCTTAAAGGTGGATGATTTTCTTCAAAATTAATTGCGACCACTATGGAGGTACCCTCTTTCCAAAAAAAATCATCAAAATCGATACACAAATGGCGGAGTTATTGCGCAACGTACATACAAAACAAAACAGTCAAATTGAGAACCTCCCCTTTTTATTGAAGTCGGTTAAAAACAGACAACTAAAGTAATTTTCGAAAATTATGAACTTAGGCTAAGCGTACACAGCAACAGTAGTTGGGATTGCTTAGCGGTAAAGATTTGTGATTGCTAAGTTTTGTGATTGTTGTATGATTTTCTTGATATTGAACGATAATACTCACTACGGCAACCATGAACGCGTTGAAATAGGCCTCTGGCGATGGAGCGCCGTTAAGCAGCCGAAGTAATGTCTGCATGTGGCTCTGAAATCAAAAGCAATATATGAACACTTCTGATATCGACTTCATTCAAAACCGTCATATTCGAGAACCTATACAGCCGAAATCTAATTCTCTTCTATTCACCTGGGCCTAATCCTCTAACTAAATTAATACGTTCAAAGTGAAATATCATTAACAAACTCTGCAGTTCATTTCTAAAGATTGATTTCTCCATACAGAGTTCGCGAATGCGTCGCAGTAGTGAAAAAGCGCTGCTACAGGTCTCTTTGCTTTATCTCCTATTCATTATTTCAACATTCATTCATACACTTATTGTTTCCTTTACAAATCGTTTTGTATAGGCCGCATACCGTCGTCATGATCGGTAGATTTTCAAAAGTTATACAATATATTCTTTATTACAGGTATCGATTTATTCAAAGTATGCATCATGGACACGCATACACTTTTCCGTTCGTCTAAACCAATTGGAAAATACCAATGACCACTCTTCTTTAAACACCTCAGAAATTTCAAAGTTATAAGCAGCCGAGGCATTTTCTTCTTTCAAACTGCTTGTCTTTTAATTTTCGGATAGAGGTAACAGTCACAAGGTGCCAGGTCAGGGGAGCCAGGATAGATACATTTTCAATGAAAATCTTCGAGTGTACTGGCAGAAGCGAAGCGGCGTTGTCGTGACGCCAGACGTGGTGTCGGATTCTTGACTTCGGCAGCAAAAGTCAGCTATAGCACAACATCTTACACAAAATAACACAACCACTATATCGAGCTGCATAGCACCTAAGTACTGTCGACGGAACGTCACTAAATACCACGTTTGGTACGAGAAGCCATCGAGATCACAAAGAACAAAACTTTTAACCGTGGAGATTGTTTTAAACCATCCAGTACCTGGAATCCGGTGCTTATAAAAATAAAAACAAAACTGCTTCGACTTCAGTTTCGCGTGTGGACACAGTGAGTGTAGTTTGTTGGAAAAAAGTGAGTGACAATAGTAACACCACAAGTAATCGAGATGAAGGTACTCGTCGACAGCGAAAGATGTCTGCTTCTAAAGCTGAAAACTGCCACTGTCCAGTAAAACCCGTGACCATGAAGCGTGTAACCATTCCGAAATATCCGGAAAATAAATCTGTAATTACTGATAATCATTTCAAATTTATTACCAAATAACGTGCTTTACGATGGTGTATAACTTGCCAGTGTCAAACAAATCAAGTAAAAAGTATCCAATTTATTTTAGCTTGACTGTTGTATCATACTATTAATTCACTGTCTTCATAAATGTTATTCATATAAGTTATTTAAATTTATTATAATAAAAAATAGCTTACCGGTGTGATATTGTTATTGCGTTCGCGCAACGTTTCGATGCTCTGGGCGTGAAGCCTGTAGGCTCTCATGCGCTCCTGAGCAGCAATTGATTGTTGGTGTGCTTCCCTATTTAAAAACGGTTCATTAATATACATCGGAAGTACGTCCCTCTATGACAAAATATGAACAACTTCGAAATTTACTATCACACTGTGGTCAAATTGAGATGTGCGAATATCGGGCAAAAGTCAACTTCAAAGTGAGAGCGAAGGTCAACTTTTCCTTTTGTTAATACATCAATTGAATTGAGCGATTGAATAACGGGACCCAGGCGAGTCTTCAGAGTTTTATGAAATTTCTTAGGAATACAGAATTGATCGAGTTTTCCTATAAAAATAAGTAATTAATTAGAACCAAAAAGGAGCCATTATTTAAGCAGATTCATCTAACACGGCGACTGCACAAAAAGCGAGAATTCTCCCCAATTTAGATATAAAGAAAAGTGTAAGCCCGTTCATATTTGCCTGAATTGCATTAAACCAAATATTTTAACTAACTAAAGCAAAAATTTAGGTTTTCTTTTAATTAAGGTCTGTTTAAAATTAAATTGATAAATTTACCGGCGTCTTTGCACACGGCGACGACCGTAAACGCTTTCGCATTGGAGGAAACGATCGTACACGACGTTGGTGACCGATACGGCTTGCGCACGAGTGGTAGTCGTAGCGCGACGCAGCTGTAGGTTTGCTGTACAGAGTTATATAGTTACAAACATTGAAAGTATCTAGGGTTCAAGCTTGCGAACTATAAATGCATAGCTAACAACGCAATTTGCTACTTTATTAATTATTAATATAACAATAATATATAATAACGCATACACTCAACATAGCCCCGCACTAGGGAAAACCTGTGTCGGGGGTACCATACTACATACTCACGAGAGAAATATGTGTACGCCACACAAATATTTCTCCCCGTCCGGGAATCGAACCTGGGACCTATGCGTGGCAGTTCGGCATGGTAGCCGTTCGGCCACAGAGGTAGTTTTAATAGAAACGTAAACACCCCGGAACGACAAATTTAACTTTATTACAAAACGCCTCTTTGTCGGCGTCCACACTTCTCCGAACTTTTGTACTTATTTTACGGGCTATATTAATCTTTTCTCGTAAACTTTGAACAATGTTTTGTTCTCGTAAACTTTGAACAAAAATTGTAAGTCAGGTTACTTCGTATATTGTGAAGGGATAGCCAATTAACACGTGATATTGCATTGTTCACCTACTTTAAGTCCACATTAACTGCCTCTCTTTTCTTCCCTTTATGTCGAATGCTAAGAGTGCAATGGTAAACATAACTGAAATACAGTTGATGTGATTAATTTAGTTACTATTTAATTGTACAATTAATGTATGTAAACACATAATGGAAATTAATCTGTGTTAAAATATTGTTTCATGAGTTGTTTTTTTATAGAAGAATGTTCATGAATAATTATTGTAATCATTATGATGATTACATTTTTTTACATTTAGATTTCTCTACCTTTTGACCGCCATGATGACCGCCATGATGACCGCAATGAAACCATGTTATTTGAATATTCTAGTTAAGTATGGATTCATAGTTCCATTTATGTTTTTCTTTAACTTAGGAGAATTTGATTAATATGATATCATAACACGTCACATCACTAGACTTGGCGTCTAGGAAACAAAACTAGTTTTTGTTAGTGACGGTCAAAAGGCTAGAAGTAATAATCGGAAAATTATTATTGACACATTATTTAAGATTATTTAAGACTGAACGTAACTAAACACGACGCAAAGGGAATAATACAAAGTTTTATGCACTAAGAGCCTCATTTACTTCAACCTACATTTGCTTAAAAAAGACGCGTTTAATGTGTTAAGCTGTCGTAGCCCGGATAAACATGTAACATGAGTCCATTTACACAGTTTTGCATGAAAAATATACACCCACATTTATTTCAAAGTAAAAAGAAATAGCAACAATTAACAGTGTAATAATATAATATGCCACACAATTACAGCAATCTTAGACTAAAGAATTCCCTGTACTATGAATACCAGAGCAACGAAATTCGTACCAGGACACTACCGAAAAAACCAATTCAGAAAAGTTAATTTCCTAAATTGGTCATACTAGGAATCGAACACGCGATCTCGTCGTCCAGCTCCTATTATGCAAACCGTTGGGCCGCTGATGTCGTAAATGGAGAACGTTACATTAAAAAAATGCAACTTGAAACATGGTATATAAAACTAATTTAATAAACATGTTGCCCTTGGAGAAATCATCAGCGAATCTTCTCTGCATATTCCTTGAGGTAACAATATTCTTTAAAGTCGCAATACACCGTCGTTGTGAAATAAATTATTTTATATCTTATTGCGTAATAAAGATGATTTCAATATCTGCGACACCTCCGTACAGCAACACGGTTTACTACGAAACTTAAAACGTGTTGCACGGTAAATGCAGCGAGAGTACGAATTCAAAACTCAAGAAACGAATACGTTTGAAGACGACAACATATCTTAGAAGACCTCGATAGTTCATCAGTGAAGCACTTTGTGGATTACATGAGGGAATCTTTGATTTTCTTTTTAAAATTCTGGTCCGAGCGTTTTGGTTTGTGCCCTCGAAATTTTGTTGCTCATGATAGTACAGACAAGCCAAAGTTTGTAACTGTGAAATTCGTGTGATTATGGGGCACATTTATTTGTAATTTCTACGTATAGTACACTGTTGTCTCACCATCAGCCTGTTATCGTTATTTTGATATAGAATAGTAAGGATGCAAAGTTTGAAGTAAATCCTTCTCATTTCAGAAAAACCCAGTACACCCAGTTGTACCTAGCAATGACTCTTCCATCGATGTTAACTTTGCTAAAGATACTGGAGTTGTGTAAAAACTGAGTTTCAAATTCTCGTCTTCAACACAAGTACACAGTCTAGTCAAGTATTATACATATGAGAACTGCATTGTAATCGAAATTAAATAAGTTACCACAAATTGTGATTTAATTTAATTCGGCGAAAAATATTACCATGTCATCTATTTATTATTTCGATTTGTTGAAGGTTCGCCCATTATTTAATAAAATTTGACACTGTCAACCAATTTGACAATCTGTTTACATAGATAAAGGGAACTTTAAGTTTTATTTGGAGACGGTACATGAAAAGGAGAACACATCACAATATTCTAGTTTATCAAAGTACTATGACATCTTTGGCAGCCCTACATCGCCTTGTAGTGGTTTTGAAATGGAATAAGCATCCTTTAAAGGTGACTACTTTTTTCTATACGGTTATCAGAACATTGGACGTGTATTAGTAAAAAAATATTTGCAATATTCCACTTATTTCAGTAACTTACGCCTCTGTCCTTGGCCACCTTGCCCAGGTCGCGACTGGTTACCGGCTTGATCCGCACCGCCTTGATTGTTGAGTCCGTGACCCTGGGACTGATGTTGGCTCTGGGGCATCTGTAGAGTGACGCCCTCTACGCCGGGTACGAGCCCCTGGCGGATGACGGACGAGACAATGTTCTGCAGTAAGTCAGCGGTCGGCGGTCCGCCCCATGTCGAACCCAGATATACTGCAAACATTACAACGACTCAAGCATATAACAATCAAGCGTTGTGAACAAAACAAATAGGAATATTTTCACTTAAAACAGTAAGACAGAAATCATAAAGTTCCGCAAAATCAAAAATCAAAAATTATCGACCCCAAAACAGAGGTTGAGTAGAATTACCTGCACCATCAGGCATGCCAGATGAGGGAGCCGTTTGATTGAGGCCGGCAGCACCAGCACCGCCGGCGGCGCCCGCAGCCGCGTTGCCGGCGGCCGCTGCGGCCGCGGCCGCTGCAGCCGCGCCTAAACCACCGGGACTCATTCCACCGGGGATCTCCTCCATGCTCATCACTACTTCCACCCCACCAAGACTGGCAGTAGTGGCAGCCTGACCTAATCCTCTGAACAGATTCTCGAAATCTGAAATCAAGTGTCGATAGACCCTTCATTAATGTAAACTTAGTATTATTCGTTTTTATAAACCTCATGTAATATTACAAATTTAGAATAAGTTAATAATTTTGTAATTCGCTATTTTTATAATTTAATAAAGACATTTAAAATTAAATTCAATTTAGTATTATTGGTATTATCATAAACAAAAGATCGTAAATTCTATAATTGATCCGACTAATTTTAGTCTCATATTCACTCCCGAGAGAAAACACCTCTACATAACATGTAACGTAAATAAAATATGACTCTACCTAACAGAACCTGACGTCTATTAGCCTGCCCTTGCCCCGCTGCATCTTGTGCACCGGCTCCGGCACCATCCGAGTTTTGCTGGCCGGGCGAGTTTTGCTGCTGGTTTTGGTCTGCCGCCTGTTGCTGGGGTTGATGCAGGCCGCCCGCGCCACCACCGTTATTTACTAGCCCGTTTAGCAGAGCGTTCTCTAAAGCGAACGCAATAGGCATCCTCGTCTCTATCTCTACTTGGTAAGTGATAGGATCCGATGGTGCGGTCGGACCCCTGCCTGCTTGTGCGTTGGCTTGGCTCTGAGTTGGGCCTTCCGATGGCGGTGTAGCACTGGCTCCCGTTTGAGTTGCCGGCATTTCACCAGTACCATTAGCAGTAGCGTTAGAATTTGATTGCTGGTTTGCACGCCGATTAGAAACCACGTTGATATGCGCCTGCATCCAATGAAGAAACATGAGTGGACGTATCTCCGTAATAAATGCCATTAAGATGTGGAAGTATCAAGCTTACCTGCATTGGTATCGGATGACGTATAACAGCGGCTTCAGAGGAAAGGCGCGGGCTGCGTTGTCCTACTTGGAAATTTATGTCACTGACGGCGTGAAATGCGTGCGCGAAGCTATGCATGATATCGCATATCATTTCCACGGTGCGCTGCTGGCTGAGTCGCTCCTCTTCAGATAACTGGGGTGGCGTGGCATTGAGCTAATTATAAAAGGATAAGCATTGGAAGTTACTATATTACTTCCAACATTTACGTATATACTTTTAATTTAATGTCTTAGCCGGATAAATTAACATACCTCTCCTGTGCTGGCTTCTCGTAGCATCCTGATGTACACAGCGCGATGTGGAGCAAACTGCTCAAGTAGTTGTTCCAATTCCTCGATAAGAATGCCCAGGTCCCGCGGCCGGGAATGACGAGCTCGCAGCGCGCGCATGGCTCTGGATAGTAATTTTAGCTAATAAACGGCACTGCTGCTTTGGACAGGGTGCAACATCGATTTTATTAATATGTCAACGAGTAAAAGCAGTTTGTTTGTCGCCCTCGTTTATTAATGGGCAAATAAGAGGCACACACACCTAGCTAGTAAGTAAGTCGTCATTGTGACAGGGACATAACTGCCTCAGTGGTCGATCGGTTACCATGCTGGACTGCCACGCAGAGGTCCTGGGTTCGATTCCCAGACCGGGAGAAATATGTATGTGTATGGCCTACATTTATTTCTCTCGTGAGTTTGTAATTTGTGGTTGTCCATGGCACCCGCGATACTGGGTTTTCCTAGCGCGGGGCGGCCATGAGTGCGTTACGTTGTTATTATTATTATTATAGTCAAGCTAAACTTGATAAAGATATTAAATATAATTGAAATTACAAAATAAATCAAAATATATTTCAATCTGATTAAAATTTATAATAAAAATTCTTAACGTCTTGAAAGCTTCTTCGAAAGCACATCGTAGTAAGCCGTTCAAATCTATCATCTTCAATGTAACGCCAATCAGGCGTGTTTGCGGGTTTTTATAATTCTGAATGTGCAGTATGTGAATTTTACACTTACATTCCCGTCTTTCCAGTCAAGACCTTGACTACAGGATGCATTTGCTGCAATTCTCCAGGTTTAACACAGGTAACTTAATGGTATTATGAACCTTACCTTTATAGTAACACATGTTCTAGCCATTAGGCTGAATATAATTATACAGGGTGTCCCAAAAATAACACGCCAGAGCGACACTGTGGGTAGGTGAGCTATATACCTACCAAAAAAAAATATTTTGACCTTGGTAAAAGTCTTTTAGTTTTCGAGATATTTGCACTTTTTTATTTTTTTGGAATAACTCTACTTTTTGTTGAGTTTTTTGCTACTATTGCCAGGGTTAGCTCCAGATGGTAGTTGTTTTTATTTTTCAGGTAACCTGAATAGTTTTTCCAGGTACTGCAACTAATATTTTATCTGATAAATGTCATAAAATGTGAAAAAGTTATTAATTTGGTATACCTCGTACCCTTATAAAAAGTTAAACGTTAACTTTGAATAGCTAGTGTGAAAAAAAAATGTATGAAACTGAATTTGCAAATGATCTTAAAAATTGCTCCACTTAATGCAGAATCAGGAATGGTACAATATTATTGAGATTTTTCACAAGAACATAAGTCATTTAATTTATTTTTCGTCATAACACCCTACCAGCCTAATCAGTTTCTAAACAAAATTAAATTTAAACTTTTAAATGAATTAATTGCTAAGCGCTTGGTAACGGCGCATCAATCTTTTTCCCACGTTGTATTCGTAATAAAGGAGTGTGATAGTTACTAGGCTTTTCTTTCTCACTGTGAACTGGTTCAAACAAACTGTGACAAATCAAACTTCCCAAAAGCATGCGGATTTAGCTACTAATATCGTGGTAGAGTGCCTTTGTGTGTCGCTTGATTTGTCGCCGTTTTTACTTAATGGAAAATAAAACAATAAATTTAAATACCCCCAATAGAAGAAGTCGAGGGGGTTCAGATCAGGTGATCTCGGTGGCCGCAAAATTGGTCCCAATCGGCCAATCCATCTTCGTGGGAACGTCTGGTCGAGGTGCGTTCGGACGTCGCGAGGGTAGTGGGCTGGACACCCATCATTTTGAAATTTCTAAAAACATTCTTCTTAGTAATGCTATTGGCACATCTTCGAGGTTTGGGAAATGGTTTTGTAAAAACTCTAAATAAATTTCCGCCATTTAGAGTCGGAGGCAGTTCAACTGGACCAAATATTTCCCACTTGAAAATTCCGGTCCATAAATTAATTTTAAACTGGTGTTGGGACCGATCTTCTCTTCTCTCGTGCGGGTTCTCTAACTGCCAGCTATGGATATTGTGGAGGTTTACATAGCCATCTCTGCGACATGCTGATTCATCACTCCACAAAATCGTATTAAAAAAGTTGGGGTCTTCACTGTGCTTTTGAAGCATTTGTTGACAAAACTGTACGCGTTTAGCGTAATCGCTCGGCAGTAAAGTTTGAACTCTCTGAATACGCTATGGGTGGTATCGGTGCCTTTTTAAAATTCGCTGTGCCGTAGACTTTAAAATGCCAGTCCGTCTATGCCTCCACCACGATGGCCAGGGTTCCTACCCGCTCTGTATCATCATCATCAACTCTTATTATGGTCTCATGGGTCGGTGGCTTACGGTTAGGAAATCTTACCGCATACAATCTTGCTGCTAATCTTGCATTTAACGATATGATGCCGCGAGCAGAAACACGTCTAGTTTCGCCGTAAATTAGGTACATGTCAGCGTGATCAATATGAGTGAATTCGGGGTTTGCTCCAACGATATTCTGTTGATCTGCCATTTTAACTGTATAAAGGCAGTATCCGGAGGCGCAGCCGTTGATCACACACAAACAACACGGTCCAAATAGTAAGCAAATCAGGGTCCAAAGTAATGCCAAGTTGTTGATATGATTACTAAAAAAACTTTTCCGATCGTTATCAAATCAAAGTCCAAAGTGATGCCAAGTAGTCGAAAGTGTAGAAACGGAAGCAGCGATAAAACGAAAAACGCGTACGTAGCACAAAACACAAAGGTATGTACTAATGGGTACTACGGCCTAACCCGACCCGATTCCACCTGGCGACCGATACCGACGTAAGAGAGAGATAACAAATAAGGGTCATACCTCTCGCTCATTTTTTACTACCTGGGGCCTAGCGACAGAGTAGTTAGTCATAAAGCTCAATAATTTAACACAATTTTTGTTTAGAAACCAACTCGGCTAGTAGGGTGTTGATGTCGAAAAAAAGTTCTTGTCAAAAATTTCAATACTATTGTACAATTCCTGACTCTGCATTAAGTGGAGTAGTTTTTAAGATCGTTTATAAATTCAGTTTCATACAATTTTTTTTCACACTAGCTATTCAAAGTTAATGTTTAACTTTTTATAAGGGTACGAGGTATACCAAATTAATAACTTTTTCATAGTTTATGATATTTCTCAGTAAAATATTAGTTGCTGTACCTGGAAAGACTATTCAGAATACTCGAAAAATAAAAATAACAACTATCTGGAGCTAACCATGACAATAATAGCATAAAACCCAACAAAGAGCAGAGTTTTTGCAAAAAAAAATAAAAAAGGGCCTATATCTCGAAAACGAAAAGACTTTTACTAGGGTCAAAATATTTTTTTCTGGTAGGTATATAGCTCACCTACCCACAGTGTCGCTCTGGCATGTTATTTTTGGGACACCCTGTATATTCTTCAGTTTCGCGCCGACGCTAGTCCCAGTCGCTAGTCGCTAGTCGCTAGTTTTATTAGTTGTGGCAGATATTCAATACTTCTTTACATGCTTAACGTCGTTTCCAAAAAAGCAGGATTTAGTACTCTCTTCTTAATCGATTCCTCGCTGCTAAGGATCGTGACTCCGGTTCATTCTGCCAATTATCTATCTCCATCAGTTGCGCTCAGTCGCCTGATGGAGTGCGGCGCTTGCAGGTAGCTCAAGTTGTTTGGAGATCTGATCTGACCATCGTTTGGAACTTTAGGTATTTTTCCTTCCACCTTCCCTGTCACCGGGAGCGTTTCCCGGTTTATCAGCATCTCTTAAGTGCAATGTGATCAAGAAAAGCGTGACACACGCTGCAAACAGATTGAAGACAGACGCTAAACCACAAGTCGTAAATACCTATATTACATCCGTGATAACTCCCAGCGCAATATGTACGGACGCGTAATGTGTCTATTCCAGCATCTCATTCACGCCTTTTAAAATCTGCGATCTTAACTATAATCAATAAGATCATAATCAGCGTAGCGAAAGTGATTCAATTTGGAGTCGTTCAGATCGGATACAATATTTTCAACTCATTCTAAAAATTGCAAAGATATTTTCTGTCGCGCGTTTCTGGGACATAAGATATCTCGGACATATATACATCTATCCTTTTTTCGATGAGATTGGTATTTTCTTTTAGTTTAGACTCTAGTATACTAGTCTGTGCGGAATTAAAAGAAAATACCAATGCCAAAACGCGATGTTATTATGTATATTATAATATATTATAATACTATACAATATTTATTCTATATTATATTGTAAAATACAATATAATATAGAACATACTATCTACGAAATAAAATATACATTTCTTCGAATGTGTATTATATTGTTTATATGGGTTATAAAATGTAACTTGTTATTATTTACATGTGAAATCTTACAAATCGCTTAAACACTACAACTCATTCGTAAAGCAGATTCCCCGGAGACAAAATATTCTCTTTCATTTGGTACAAATGAAGTTCTATATCCTTATAATGTACGGAGTCGAACACCTCGTAGTCCACACATTTCAAATACAACTTGATAGGCTCTCGTTGATATAGAACGCAAGTAGAACTAAAGCTTGGCGTACATTTTCCCTTTTGGAATGCGTATGAGATGATGTAGAGTAACGCCGATTCTCAACTATTTTTAAAATTATTTTAATCCCTGTATTCTTGCTAAAACTTCCTGTTTGATAAATCCAGTCCTGTTCAGCGAATACGTTCCATCTTCTTCCGCCACCAAATCTTCAAGTGTGTCTCTTAATTCACTTTATTATAAATTTTTATAATTTGTCATAGGAGAATATGTAGGGTCGTCCTCAATATTTCTGGACCCTGACTCTATACTGAGTTGGTAGAAGTCCAAAAGTTATTGTATTCGTATCAGAATATGTAAAAAATGCTCGGCAATATCCATGAATATTAACTTTCAATTTTAATATTAATAAGTTGGAAACGGGCCTTAATACAATTTTGAAAGAAAATAAAAACCTTTATCTTTAAGAGTGTTGCATGTTACACCACGCTAGGCAAAAATTGAAAAAACATACATACACACGTGCTTCCATCCCGAAATAAATACAGTTAGGCGTTTGTGGAAATAAATTTTAACTTATTGCAATATGTTTTGTTGCTCTTCAGGACACATGGAAGGTAAATTTCGTCCGCCCGTAATTAAATCAGAAGTATTATTAAGAACCGCACCTAAGGTCACATACCCGCTGTGGTGAGGATAATACCCCTCTAAAATGAGCCATGCTAATAGTAACCCCATGCCTATGTCGTAAGCAAAAATGTTATTCCAAATTGTGGCAATCTGATTGCGCACCTACACATAACTCAGTCTTTGAACATACAACAACGTTGTCGCCGTGTGATTAATCGATATTTATTTTGAGACGAATCAATACGTTACTGCTAAATCACAAGAGACGGGCAAGCCACCAATTGCTACGCTAGTCTTTGCGGCATCAAATAATACTATAGTCGTTGGTTATAATTTAATACAAACCTACACTGTTTCACTATTCAAGTGTGAAAATGATGCAAATTGCTTTCACGTCTGAGAAAGTATTCAAGTGAGAAAATTATGCAAATCACTGACTAAATATTACACTACAAAAGATATAGTTATGTATTAAACCTATGTACGCTATTAGCAACTTCAGAAAATTTGTTGATAATTAATAATAGCATTCTTGTGTCATTGAACCAGTTTACAACACGTGTGCATCAAACTATACTTTAAAATCGACTAGTTTGTCTGAATTGCTCTCGATTTTTCCACGTCATATACGAGTACAAACAACCCTCGCCTGCTATCGCGACACAGTCCTTTAAAATACCTGAATGTATCTAAAATATAGCTAGGATTTTATTTTATTGGCTTATTTATAAAGCTGTCTGTGCTTTGGACTGGAAGCTCCGTCTCCTGTCGGTATATTAATATACCCGCTGTCTGCCTCGATGGCAACGCTACAGAAGAAGATGTAAGTACTCTCGTCTACGCATAATATTGTTTTCAGGTTGAATGTACCAGTCGGAACATGGAGGATTTGCATTCATTACCATACATTTGCATCCATCCCTTGGTTGCTATTTATGACACTCACATTCATAACAAACCACAACTTAAATAGTAGCTAAAGGCGCCGACAAAAAGACGTCGTGTACTTGGCTTAATTCTAATAATGTGCTAAACTACCACAACAATTACATAACCTGAGGCTAGGGAATTCTCTGTACTAGCACCAGAGTAACGGAGCTCTGCCCAAAACACCCAGACCAGAACCAATTTAGAAAAATTCATGCCCCAAATGGTCCTAACGGTAGTCGAACCTGGAATCTCACCTTCCAGCGCCCACAGTGCCAACCGTTGGATCACCGAGAACGTCAAATCTATCACACACGAGCTTGTCTATTCACAACACATTTTACGTTGTTTGGTAACCAGATGCAGTTTTTAAGAATCGACACAACCTCAAATGGCTTTGGTTGATTCCGCATAACAGTGAGTGTTGCATCAATCACTGTGGCATCAATCACTATGGCAAAAAAAATTGTAACATTGAGGATATGCTCTGATTAGTATACGCCGTCAAAAAACGATTAGTAAAATTTTCACGATACAAACTTACCTCGAAATTTTACAAGAAAACTGCAGTATTCATATGTACTTTGCCTACGTGAAGTATCTATTGAATACTTCAGTTTACTTGGTATACACCAATGATTATTTTTATTTCAATTGAACTAAATAGAACACGTATAGTATACTTAGTATATTTTTTCAATGGCTTTAATTTCGTGCGTATAAAAAAATAAATTCTGAAATAAAGCAAGTATGCCTGCCGCTCGACCCAACAAAATGAACCGCATTAGTATGGGAATAATTTTAATTCGCGCTGAGGTAGTATCGACTCTTAAATTAGCAAAATTAGGTCAGATTATTAACCTTTGCGAAAAAGCATAATATAGTAGTTTATGCCTGAACTCAGGCGCGCGTCTCCAGTTTATATGAATTAAATAGATTCAAAACCTTACCTGCGTCGTGCATTAGCAGCTCTGGTGGCTGCATCGGGGGCTTCCTCACCATTTTCATCCAGTTGTGGCTCGGGCTATACAAAATGTATATCATACATTAGTATTTATACAGCAGTTAGAAATAACTGTTCGTGTCACAGATATGTACAGACATCGAAACAATAGCGCGTCAAGACAACCAAGACAAAAAATCGAATGTGGCATAGTTCACAGATATTGAATTACCCAATTAAATACTTCATATTTATATAACAATTACGTAACAAAGTATATAAGTTATCCTCCTCGGAAGCAAACAATCACTTTGTCTGTGTATACAAGGTGTAACCGTTAAGTGTGTCTAGGTGATTATTCCGTAAATATAAGAGATGTCAAAAACCTTTAAACTGATATCGAAAGCACGTTACCTAATGAGCAAAACGACATCAATGACTTTCTTAAATAAAACTAAAAATATTCAAAATTTTGACGTTAAATGCTCCCATGCGTGTAATATGACATTCACAGAGAGGATTTGGTTGACCTACTTTAAGAGGCAACAATAAATTTACAGATAACGAATCTGCTAAATAAAAAAATAACAAAACTATCTACTAATCATTTAATTGCATTAAAACTAAGTGATGTTTACTTATAAGTTAGTACAAAATTCTGTATTAAAAGTGGTTGTTCGAAACTAAAACCTCTCTACGACTGTATATTAAATGTATGAGAGCTTTTAACGTTAAAACTTTGGATATTTCTAGTGTTATTTTAAAAGTTATTGATGTCGTTTTTCTCATTAGCTGTAACTTGCTTTCGATATCAGTTTCAAAGTTTTTGATATATCTTAAGTTTAGGGAATATTAGCCTGGACACACTACGATACAACCTGTATATTTAAACTGCATATACTATATATAGATAATATCATCTCCGTCAAACTCGTCCTTCAAATAACGTGATGAAAAAATTCAGCGACTAAAAAATTACACAGACATTTTTTCCTTCGAACGAGCAAAAACTGAATCCACGGCGACCAGAAGACATTAAAAAAAAATTCTGTGAAATAAGTGCAAAAGTAAGGCTGCCACATTGGTCTTCAACGTTACTATCGAAGCGAAATAACAGATTCACATATAACATATGACATTTACCAAGCGAATGTGAAATGTGTCTTGTGCTCTTAAAATTTTATATTAAGCACGTACTAATACGATAGGCGAGTCGTTCAAACAACAATTATGTAATATTAGTGGCTCAAAACGGTTCAAGCTTCATCAATAATGCTCGCATTGGCACGGCGTTTACTTATCGTGGTATAATTTTCTGCATGAGTCATACTAAGACCACAGCTGTCGTGGTCCCAGCGCCATATTAAAGGCTTCAGTAAAAACACTGTAATTTGTAACGTTACAACATAATTTAATAATATAAATAAGTGTCCTGTACACTAATATTTGTTATTTGCGGGCGCTGTGAATGCTTTCAAATCGAACAAAGTTGGTCATTCACAATTTTCTTTCTTTCTTTCAGAACTTCAGAATTTTCAATTAAACAAAACGGCTTCCCTTTAGAAGAGGGGAGTTGGGTAATTTTCAGGTTAATTTTCTCTACCTCATTTAAATTTTTTCAATTTAATTTAATAGGTGGCAATTTTATTATTTAAGATTACGAATATATTATCGTGAAATATTAAATTATAATACTTCATGATAAGATTTTAGAATATTCAAATAATAAAGATAGCCACCAAAATTAGGTAGTGGAAATTAAACTGAAAATTACCCTGTTATTTATTTATGTACTACTTCCCGATCATTCATTACACTACCAATAAAATAGATAACAAGTATTTAAACTAACATCCATAATAACACCATAATCTGAGTCATCTATTGAATAAATGTAACGCTCATTTGTATCAATTGAATTAAGAGTAAACTTTAAAATACCAGTACCCATTACACAATAAGTGCTATTTTATTGCCGTCAAGAGGAGAGGTTACGGAAACACAAAACATCGTTTCGACACAAACATTAACCTTACTAAAAAAAATTAACATTATAACATGCTAGTGTTGCCCAAAGCATAAAGGTCTGTTTTTTGAGCATTAGACAGAAAAAAACGTGGGTATTTTATCAGGCACCTTTTCATTCAGTCATTAAGTGAAACAAAATTCTCATACATTATTTACTACCTTTATGTAAAAATTACGTTGTTTTTCCTCGTAGTGCTCACTATTGTAAAGAATCTTGCCCATTTTGGACTCGCAAATTTTTGAGTCGCGACCGGTTGAAAATGTATATCCACATAAATATACGTAACAAAAAAATACAATTTTCATTTGTGAAACTTTGAAATAAGATGGAGGAAAAAAGAATACGAATTTTTAAAAATACGTTCAAAAAAAATACATGGAAGTGTAAACATTTCTTTTTGAACGTAACACGACTTACATTTTTTTTGCAAGCCTCGTTTACACTTGCCACGATTTCTTCAACGTTGAGATAATCTTTGAACGAAAGTTACAACAAAGAACTTCAAAACAATAACGGATACTTTTTATAAGATAATAATTCATTTTCGTGTTATTTGTAAATGTCATTTGTCATAATTCTGACAATTTTTTACTGTGCAGTAATTTGTTGGCTGAACAAAATGGTTTACGATTATTGCTTCTTTCTTCACATTTTTTAATTTTTCCTAAGAATATAGTTAGGTACTAATGCACAGCAAACAGAACTGTATTGTATTGATTAACCATTTAAAATTTAATGCACTACAAATTATACGCTATCAAACATGACAAGTAGGACAAGTGTCAATTATCTCTATCCATCTACCAGAATATTGTCGCGTACTGCTTGCCGCATTTTTGTATGCACTAAGTATTTACTAGATAATTAAATACCTTTAATAATTTGAAAAAAAAAAAGAAACTAACGCCAGGCCATGACAACAGCTAACTTAAAAAACATTCAACATGTTCAAACTGTCGAGTCTTGTCGTAGCTAAGTAGTAGCTAAATTTCCTGAGTAGACTTCATGTACTGATTAATTCGAATACGTAAATTATGTTCCACTAACAAATTAAATTGAGCACACGCAGTCGTGTCAGATCACTCGCTACGAAAAACCTCATCAGTTTAACAAGCCTTCAGCATACCTACGTTGTGGCTAGTAATCTGTATTGATTATAGTCGGTCTTTGACGAGAAGCGTTGTAGGCTATAATATGAAATAAAGTCTACATGAAATCATTACCTCTTCCTGAGTCGCACCCGTACCGAGTTCACTTTCCATATTTTCTATTTGCGGCTCACTGCTGGATGCACCAGAATTCTCCTACAGTAAGCACATTAACAAACATCAACAACTACATATAACATAAACAACATTTATATAGCTCTATAAGCACCGTGCTTTGGAATGGGCAGTTGTGCTCGATCTTCAGTTGTCATTCAAATCTAAATAATTTTTCTTGTTATTTCCATACATTTTTATCATCAGACTTGTGTCTTGGTCGTGCCGAACTTAGATCCAACATTCATTATCGAAATTAACATTTGATTTTTTAAACGTGTAATTCGTACAACTTGAATGATTTTTAAGATTCCGTAGTGAAACAAAGTTGCTCATACAGGTATTTTAAGAACCATTTTTCTGATGGACACAAAATCTTAAATTGATCTTATTGAAGGCACTGTTTTTAGAGACGCAATCAAAATATTATTTTACTCGTCACATGACTTATATTGCGAAATAATAAAATTAATCTTGTAGCATGCGAACATGGACGCGAAATTGAGTCAAGCTTACTAAACAATTAAACATGCCTTACAATTTACATATAGCACTGCCTAAAAACATTACAAATATAAATGGTGACTTTCGTTGTTTTAAAAAAATATAAAACATGCGTTACTGCTAACATTGAGCGTTATCTTACCTCATCGTTGATATGCGCCTCCAAGTTGGCAAGAGAGGTCTTAATTTCTCCTACGAGCCGACGAATTAGCTCCAAGCGTCCCGTTGTGGGAGATATAGACATCGCGTGTTGCTGTTCTTCCATAAGGAAACTAGGAGCACCAGCCATGGCCTAACAAAAATACTATTATTAGATAAGAAGATTTCAAATTCTTTGGACACAAATTGCTAGCATTACCTGAGACTACAGTATAAGGTAGTCCAAAAGTATGGAATAAGCCAGTAACGGTTCAATATCTCGATACCTCCACGTAAATTCTTGTAAGTCAAAATAAGTCAAAATATCGTTTCTTGCTGTTGAATTTAAATGTGTCCTTTTTTATGTATATTATAGGTTCCTTATTTAAAAGTAAAATCACTTACTTAATGCGCCAGTCAGGATTTGAGTATAGTTTAAAGCACTCGAAATCATACTCAAGTCCCTGCAATTAGAGTCGTATTTACAGTGCTTGAAATCATACTCAGATCCTGACTTGAGCATTGAGTAGAGTTCTGGAATACGGCCCTCAGTGTTGTTTACTTTCAAAACTGTATACATACTAATACATAAAAAAGGATATATTTAATTTCAAGAGTAAAAAATGGTATTTTGACTTACAACAACTTACGTGAGAGGTATCAATCTACACGTGACTTCTGTACGGTCGATACAGCACGTACAGTAACGTAATCATAATAGGATGTGGTATCGCAGATAACTTACCATAAGTCTCCGAATCTGTGCTTGGGCGCCTGCATTCTGCGTGTGATCAATGTTAGGTGTCGAATTGCTGGCGGTAGAGTGAGAATTACTGTGGGAGTGGTGACCGTGCATGTGCGCGTGCACATTGTGTCTCGATACTGGGCTCGGGGGTGCCCTCTGCACGAGATGCACCACTTTGCCATTTACATCTGTCGTAAATAATAATTTATTTCTTCAAAAGGGTTATAACACTTAATCTAATTAAATTAAAGATTTGATGATCTTATAATATTGCCCGTACATTAGTTATTTAAACAAATTAACCAATAACCGAAAGTGACCGGCCGTACGCGCAAGCGACCACACAACTTTGTTTACTTGTCCTTAGCATTATTAATAAACTAACAGAGAAAAGTGAAAAGTTGTACTTGAAAGTTATATTAAATTAAAACTGCTGTAGTAAGCTTCAAAATCAAAATGTTAACAATCACTTAAAAATTTAAGCAAATATATATATTTAAATGTAAAAAACGCGTTCATAGATGAAAGTCATACAAAATTTGATGCTATTTGTTATTTACTGACAGAATTAATATTGACATTACACAGCAGTTGCCATTGACCTACTAACATAGGTCAATGGCTGTAACCCAAATTCAATGGCATTAAAAATTTATAATAAATTATCAATCAATTAAAAAATGGTCAATGTGACAAAAAAATTTATAAAGTTTTATTTATTTATTTATTTAAACACTTTATTGTACCACAAAGTAACTTACAAATTTTCAGAAACAATTTAAATATTTGTGTACAAAGGCGAGCTTATCCCAAAAAAAGAGATTTCTTCCAACTAACCTTTGAAAAATCTGAGAGGAAAGTTGGTTTTTGGGGTGGCACTAACAACAGATAAGTAAAGAAATGGAATATACTATACTCAATAAATATACAGATAAATTTAATAAATCAAATGTACATACGAATACATATACAGGGTGATTGGTAACTCGATACATTCCTTTTAAGGGGTGAAAGTAGACATAATTTGAAGTAAATTAAGTCAAGTTATACCCTGTCCGAAAATTAGTAGTTTCAAAGATATTGAAGATTTAAAGTTTTTAAAAAAAAAATCCCGATTCTCAGCTTTGTTATTTTTTTGGAATTTTATTTCTGTCCGTTTCTGGTTTGTTTTCATTTTATCTAGTAGTTATTGAATTAAAGTTATTGTTTAATAGCAATAGAGTACGAAATAACTGTTAAATTTGCCATAGTGGTTCAAAAATGATGAGAACTACCGAAAAAGAAACAACAATTTATTTATTAAAAGGAGTGCCTTGTAAAAAAATTATATGGAACGATGTGTACAAATTACTTAAATTACTTCTTTGTATTGTTACCTATTCAAAA